CCAACTCGCCGAACACCCAGACCGCTTCCCTAGGAACCTCCTCGGGGGTCCCGTCCCCTTGTCCCACTGCAGCATCCCTGGAAGCTCGTGATGCTTGTAGGAAGGGGCATGCAGGAATCTTTCCTCACCCCCCTCTCCCCTGGTTTTTGTCGCGGGCCGCGGGAGGTGGGAGCGCAGGGAGCAGAAGCCAGCGGCGGGAGCCCGGCGGGCAGCGGGCGGGGATGCGGGCGGGCGGGCGAGGGTGCGGGTCCCTGCCGCCGCCGCGGGCCGGGGGCATCCCGGAGCGGCAGCATCCCCCGGTGCTTCCACCACCAGCTCAACTAATGCCCATCCGCTTTTCAGGTTCAAAGCTTTAGCGAGGCGGCACTTCTCCCAGCTGCAGCCACCTGCGAAGCCGGTTTTGCAAGAGGCTGCTGTAAAGAATTCATTTTTTAAAGGCAACTGAAAGATACGTTGTGAAGAGAGGCGATTCACGGGCTCACAAGATGGAAATTAGACAGGGAAAGACTTGCTGCCTGTAGGAGAATAGCGAGCGACTAAACTGTTTAGAAGAAAGAGATAGTTGCAAAGATGAGCTGATGGGGAAGAAGTCGCTGTCAAAAGTCATCGCAGGGTGTTTGCTTAATGACTTTTACACTCCCTGTAGCCAGAACTTAAGACTTTTATTCAACTTTTCTGTACTCATAGCTGCTGGTTTTGGGGAAAAGAAAAATGAAGCAACATGTTTGTGTCAAAATGGGTTTAACAAATCTTTGAATATAGAAAGAATTCTGCAAGGGTTCTAGCAAGAACAGCTGAAGCTTAGGCTAGTTTTGATTATTATTATCTTTCAGACCATTACGGAAAGCTTACTCAAAATGTGCCCTTCAAGAAATCTCAAACGATGCCACTTTTTAATTTATAAATTTCAGTAACTTCTAATGTAGTCTGGAGTTAGAACAACTGCACAGCTACACATACATTTACCAAACCAGAAAATGCTGCAGGTCTGTCTTCTCTAGGAAGCATCTTCAATAACCCTCACAGACATACCTGACGAGCATTTCTGCATGAAGGAATGGAGAAACACTGGTCTCTTTAGGGTACAACCCTCCTATTAAATACCTGTAGAACTCAGCAGCTACAGTGATACCTAGAAAAGCCAAGTTGTGCTTTGCTGGTGCAGTACTGTGTATCGTAACAATTTCATTCATATCCCCTTTTAAAATGAATGATCTGTGAAGACAGAATACTTTACTTTAGGTAGTACATCTTGTACTATGTGGTGGTTTGCAAAAGTAAAAGCCTAGGAGTTGTACTTAGGAATCACTAGTGGACTGCAGATCTTTATATTATTTTTGAATAATGTCCTAAGAATGTCAGAAGTGCCACTTTTATTACCTTATCTGATGAGAATTGGCTTATGTTTCCTGGCGGGTGTGTGTGTGTGTGTGTGTGTGTGTGTGTTTGTGTGTGTGTGTGTGTGTGTGATAAAAAAGACACGGTACTTTCCAATATTCAGAGGAGTTTCTGTATTTCACTGCTGAATTAAAGGCTTTTTTTTTCATTACAGAAATATCTGTCAAGATCAAGTAACAGAAAAATGTAGTATGTTGAAATAATAATTAAAAAGCAATAGTTGTGAATCTGTGAGAAAAGTATAAATATAAGCTGGAAAAAAACCCACAGACAATAATTCAATATTAAAATAGATATATTCCTTTTTATTCTGCCCTTGAAATACAAAATTCCTTTAAGATGTTAGATTACTAAAATAATGAAATTTCTGTTTTCTTGCTCAGAAGTACCTTAGTTGTTCTAGGAGCCTGAACAATGGATATTAACTGTTAAAGTAAAACCTAGCCATTGTTCAGCTATATACAAATTGTGAGTTCACAAAATTAAGAGCACTTCACAATCTCTTGAATGATCTTTCAATAATGACAAAAATTCTACAAGAAAAATTCACAGACCGGTAATTCTTCATAAAAATAGCAATGCCAAAAAGTGTGACATGCAGCTCCCTTAAAAGCATAAAGAGCAACTCTTACATGGTTTTATATTTCTACATTAGGACATACTGACAGAGATATGAAAATCTAATTTGCAAACAGGTACACATATACTACTAGATGGTTTCCTAAATAATGGAACATTTTAAAAAGTTTACAATAGCATCTAGCAGTACTAAGTGCTAGCATGAAAATGGAGAACATTCAGTCTGCAAATTAAAATAAGAAGAATAATTTAAAAATTATGTTTTAGCATTCACATTAGTTCATGATAAATTAACTTTCTTCTTGGGTGCTATAAAGGGCCAGACTGTTAAGAAACCTATTTTTTAATGAGAAAAAAGGTGCTTATATTTTTTTTAATAGCAGAAGATACTATTGATACAACCATAGACATCGACAACTTACAGTCAGAGGCTGGTAGTGACCAGCTGAGTCACATCTCAAACTGATGGGTGAGAGCACCAATTCATTGAGGAACAGCAGAGAAATTCTGGGGGTACCCATGTCCATCCATCCACTTGCAGGTCTGTGGATGACCCCAGCAGGTACTGCTGGGTTGGCAGGGCAGACCCCTCTGCTGAGGTGAAGAGGTGGGAGAGGGAAGCCCAGGTCTGCCTCCCACCACCCTGCCCTGCAGCCCCACTGGCACCTGAATGCTGGCAAAGAGCACTGCTCTTTCTGCTTAGATGCTTTTGCCTCTTCGTGCTCCAGTGACAGACACTCAGAGCTGCACACTCCTGGGTCCTGCAGCACAGGAGGTAATCAAAAAGGGTGTTGTGCCCTGTGTAATGAAACATGCTCTTCTTGGCACAGCACCCTGCAGTGAGCTTGGCTCCAGCTGGGACATGCTGGAACATGTTGAGGATGCTGGAGCATGTTGGGGATGCTGCACTCTGTTGTGCTGCCTCAGCTTATTGACCAGGAATAGCAACACCATGGGCCTTTCAGTCCTGCTTCATGGAGACCGAGTCATTCCTGGTCAGACCAGCTGCTGACTCTCAGTATGTCCCCTCAGTTGCTGAATACATGGACCAGAAGGGTTTAACCTCCCTGACCAGCTCCAGCTCTCATGGCTTTACATGGAGGTGAGGCTTTCTTCCTCAGCAGCCGAGGTATGCCAAGCTAGTGATGCAGTGCTTGCCAGCCAGGAGCCTGGGTTACCAGGGACACAATTCCAGGCCAGACTGGGCAGACCCTGCCTTGCATTTGATTATTTTGGTTCTTGAGCAAAAAAGAGCAAGCAACTTTTATCCCAGCAGAATGCTGGCCTCCTGCGTGGCGCTCTCTAACTCTGATGCAAGGTCTCCAAGCAGCTTCATAGAGGTTTCATCCAACTCCTGGGAAAGATTCTGACCCTTTTCTCTTTTTTTTTTTTTTTTTCTTTTTAAAATATTTTTTTAATAGAGCATATGATACAGATTTAATTTGCTATTTTGGAGACAATCTAGTTCTTCTTTTAATTTAAGAATAGATACTATACAAATTGATCAGCCATTAATCTGAAACTACTAATGATTTGCATGTACTTTTGGCACAGTCCTATTATGCCCTATCAAATTACGTAGCAGCCAGTGATACTCTAATTAAAAATCCTAAAAATAGAATACAATTATAAAAAAAGGCTTCTGTTTAAAACAAATACCCACTGTTTTCTTCGCAGTTTCTTCAGGTTTGTTTTAAAGTTGGATGCCAAAGAAGGATTCATCGTAATTGTAGCATGAGACATTTTACAGGTTATATATAAGCAATAATGGAATGCAGTCAACAGTGTAATGATATCAACATTCCTTCTCTCAAGAAGCCAGGCTCTAATGTCCAAACTGGATTGTGAGCTATAGCTGAGTACAGAATAGCTTCTACAGAGTAACCACAGAAGTAACCTGAGTACAAGAATGTCTCCATTAAAACCAATTTTACTCTCTGGGACAAAGCAATAATCAGCTTTTGCTGTTGATTAAATGTAGAAGTAAAGTTAAAGCATTTAATCAACTGCAAAGCCCATTTAATGTAAGTATACTCCATATTTGTAGACATTATTGATACTATATATGAAGAGAAAATGTTTATCCAATATATCCCACAAAACCACAATTTACTTCTTGGAGGATTTGGAATGTGGCTGTACCAATCTCTGAAAGTCTTTCTAGTGATGCTGATGCTTATTTAGGGTATGTGCTTTGCACAAATAAGTGAACAGGCTTCTACAAAAATAACAATAAATAATTCTTAGTATGTAGGTAGCAGTTTTCATCCATAGGCCATCAAGGGCCATACAGATCAGTACAATTTCTGATTTTGAAAGACTTAGTCTGACACATCCCAAAGAGAGATTTTTTTTTTTTTAGGAACAAAAGGCAAGGCCCATAGATGTGGCTATTCTGCCATTACAATTATCATCTTGGCAAATTGAGACTGGACAGCCATGGGAATCCTCATCAATCTCTGAAGTGATGGCTGGGAAGAGAGACAGGGTCTAAAATCTCAGATTTTTTTGCACTAGGAAATTAATTTTCCAAACAAGAGCTGGGCACCTAGTGAAGCAGGCTGGGCAGCCAGTATAAACTTCTGTGGCTGTCCAGGGTTTTCACTTGCTCAAATTTTGGCCCCAGGGAAGAGCCTGTTTTCCAATTTGCAGATGGACAAGTCTGTTTCCAAACACAGGTTACACTACTCTGCCTATTCACAACTTAGGCAAAGTAAAACAATGTTAAAAAGCATTTTTAGATACCACACTTGCCCTTGACACCCTCTTCCTCTTTTGCCTTTTCAGAGAAATTAACAAACATAAGAAACAGTCAAAATAAATGCATGAACATGTTACTAAGAAACAGCAAGAGAAAGAGAAGCTAATTTTCAAGGTTATAGAATAATTTCAAATGGCCTTATATATTTTCTTCCTGAACAATATGCTTTTTTAGGGGCTCAAAAGCCAAAATACATAATTTAGGCTTGATCAAGAGCCTATTAAAAAAAAAAAAAATTCTGAAAATAAAAAAAAAAAAAAAAAAAAAAAAAAAAAAAAAATTTTAAAAAAAAAAAAAAAAAAAAAAAAAAAAAAAAAGAAAAGAAGCAAGAAAGCAAAGCATTCACCCTTAGTAAATAAACCTGAAGTTAGAAATGTGTCGTCAGTAAGACATTCTTGCAAATCATCCTCCACCACCCCGCACAACTTCCATCACATCTCCCAAATAAAGGGCTAAGACTCTCATGACCATGAAAAAAATAAAGTAAATATAAAGTTAGGATAATTACAAGAAGCCCCCCCTTCCTTGTTATTATGCTTCTATGAGGAGATGCTGATATTTATGTAAGTGGCCTGGATTCATCCTCCCTGTAAATCCTGCTCATCTCTCAACCAAGAGTATGGGGATGCACCTTGCAGAGATGCTGGGCTATTTACTTGGCCAGACTCTTGTCACGTCATCTCACTTCTCACAACTCAAGCAGGACAAATTGAGGTTGCACATCCCTGCATCTTGTCTCTACCTCCAGCCCAACAGCTTTTCTCCTTAGAAACAAAGAGGAAGGAGGTAAAAGCAGAGAGGGAAAAGCAAACATTTCCAAAAATATAAAGCTGAGTGATGAAATAGAGCAAACATGGAGATTAGTGGAAGGCATATAGGCAGCTGCTCAATTTCTTAAGGACCTTAGCTTGTAACGAAAGGCAATATCAACGTCTGGCAGAAGGATACCAAGGCCCATGCGACTGTTATCAAGTCTGACAGCTTTGTTTTCTGCTAGTTCTACATCAAAATGAGACAATAGTATGAAAAGAAACATCTTCATCTCATTCATTGCGAGGAACCTCCCTGGACACATGCTGATCCCAGAGCCAAAGGGCATTAGGAAATACTTCAGTTTTCTTCCTGCCTTGTAGAATGTGGTTTTCTTCTTGCCATTCTCTATGTATCGATCGAACTTATACTCCTGAAAATGAAAGAGAGAAACAGCGTGATATCTAACAAGGCAGTTACATGAGCTGCTTTCTTTGCACAATGGTAACGCGTCTGAAACCCAGAAAATAAGATAAAGAGGAAGACAAGGAGCTGACAGCTTCTTCTTTTTAGTTGGCTCCCTCAAGTTTCATTAACTCACATTATCTTCCCTGCAAAGAACACTCTTTAAATCCACTTATTTAGCTCAGTCCTTTTACATCAAGCTCCTTCAACTTCCTCATCTCATCCACTGAGTGTCTGGCCTATATTGATTGTAATTAGATTTTGACCGCTTTGTAGCAGGGACAATGAACCTCAGTGGAAGGACAATTTTCTTGTAAAGCATCATATGCACTCAGTGTGGTACATACATCATGAATAAGGATAATCTGCCAAATTCTGCAAATGCCTATGAATAAATTAATGCATTGCACCGATTTTGCTCTTGCAAGCCAGAAAAAAATCCATCCTTCTTTTGCATGGAATGGCGCAGATTATTTGGAAACTTCAACTCTTTGCAGTCAGTTTTCCTTTCAGTTGGAGATGGTTGCTGCTTAATTTGCCACATCTTACCTCCAAGTATTTTGCAGCAGAAGCTGTGAGCAAAGCAGGACAATGCCAGTGAGTGACCATTATAAAGAGGGTGTTTTCAAGTAGGGCTTGAGGTCACACTTGTAACCTACATTCCATAAATTGAACATATTTCTGACTATTTTTGAGTAGCAGGATCCCTGTTTAGAGATAATTTGTGTTTTTGAATGAAGGAGATCTGGCATCCTCACTCAGTCAATGGCAAATTAACCACTTACAAAACCCTCCTGCATGCTTTGAATAAAAATGACAGGCACTTCTTGCTTATGGTCACTCATTAGCATTTGTCCTGCTTTGCATACATCTGCTATAGCAGCAGCCATTTGGAGCTGGCTGGGAACAAGTCAGTCAGACAGAAACCGACCTCAACTGATTAAAAAACCCCACACCACCATTAAAAATACACTGATACTGATCTACTAATTTGATTAAAGGCTCTGAAAATCATGAACTCCAGGTCTTGCTGTTGAGAAACAAATGTCAGGGGAGGTGGTCAGTGAGAAAGGGAACAAATATTAGGTGCACTGGAGGGGATGCAACTTTGGGTGCTGAAGAGCAAAAGCTTATTTCACTAAATGGCAGAGGCCTGGATTTTCCACAAATATAAAGGCGATTCTATGTCTGCTTCCACTGACAAGTAATTCTTTTCAGTCTCCCCGAACACCCCAGCTAAAAGGAAGCACGCCTTTATTTTTTTCTGCCAGGAAGTTATTGCTTCATTTGGAGCAGCACAGTAACAAATGAAAGCCCAGAATGCCATAAGATTTACTTCCTGAATTTTAAATCCCGCTGGTCTAAAAAAGCACTGCTGAATATGAACTGCACTATCTTAAAAACTCAACCCAGAGCTCTTCACTTTGCTCAAACGTATTCACAAGGTGCACTTCTGGTGTCTGGAGGAATACAAGAACTGTGCTATTGAACACACAGACACACTGGGTGAGACCTTATGCTTTCTTTGTCATATTAAGAGCTTTCTGAGAGTTGCAATTGCTTTTAACAAAAGAACTATTTGCTGTCTGAGGAATAGGGAAAACAGAAAACAAGTGTGAGACAGGAATGCAGCCAATGACAATGACATCAAACTCAGTGCTGCTGAAGCCCCTTGGGTTGAGTAGTCTTTCCTTAAAAGCTAGTTCACTGACTAAATAAAGACTAATTTTTAAAAATTATGGAATTTTCAGCCATGCACAAGGTCTCCTGAAAGAGACATGGTTGCTGACAGCAAGGAGAAAGGTCAGGATGCTGAGCGAAAGCAAGGAATGAAATTCTGTGTGGATGAGCTGCTACAAGTATTATGAAAACTGAGCAATCTCCTGTGATTGATCTAAGTCTCCTTCTGTCACATGCTGTATTTAGCTTTGTTTGGGAAGTCACCATAGAGGATTTCCTGCAGGGTTTTCTGATATTTACTCGTACAGGTTTTGCAGAGTTCATTTACTGAGCTCTATAACTAGCTGAGTTATAATTTAGGGTTTCACTTACACAATTTATAGAAGATGGACTAATTTATTTAGACCTTAATGGGTGGAGAAAGAGGTCAGAAATATATGCTTACACTTACACAATATGGTGCCAAAGCACAAGATAGCATGAACTTAAATTTATGTATCCAGGAGAAAAAGCATTGCTGTAAAATTATCTCATCAAGCTGCCTGTTTTCCCAGGAAAAGTTTTCCCTAAATACATGACAAGCTCAAGACTGCACCTTTCAAAAAATTCATTCTCCATCTCTATCTGATCCTCAGTAGTTATTGTTGAAAGCACACTGCATATTTTAAGAACCAAACAGAACAGTGATTTCCCCACTTTTCGAGAGGGGCCCATGTGCTGAAATCAATGTACTGCAATGTGTGGATTGCTCATTCACTATCAAAAAGATAAAATATATGAACTAAAGCTGTACTGTGAAAGCTGAGCGGAGCTGATACTAAGCAGATATATTCAAGCAATGGAAATATGGTAATATATTCCGGCAATTATTGGATAAGGGAGGAGATCAGTTTCCACACTGATGCTTTTGGTCTAGGACCTAAACAAACAGATGGACTTTTGACAAATCAATAACATTCTCCAAAATAAAGTGTTAAGGATAAAAAAAAAAAAAAAAAAAGCTTATTTGTTAGCTGTTATCTATCCTTCTTAAGGATAAAAATATTAATCAACTATTTGCCAATAGATGAATTATTTTTAAAACCCTGATTTTCTCTGTAGGCTTTATCTTAATTTTTGGGTGGGGACAGCTAGCAGAGCGCCCCAGAATGTAATTTTCATTCTCGTGGCTCCAATGTTCATCACAGTGACTATACCTTACTCCTCCTGACTCCAACATGCTCCACACCTCCTCTCACTGAGGCTGGCAGAGCTCCTACACAACGAAATGCTGTCCTGCACCAACGAGACACTTGAATCTCATATTTTCTTTGCAAGCTCTCATCTTCAAATTCCTGAAAGGGAGAGCTTCACGGAGCAATGTCTCTAACACAGGCTTTCTATAAACATGTAAAAAACTTAGTTCCTTTCTTCTTTGGCTCAAATGCTGAGGATGGAAATCAGCATGGCTGGGAGACAGCCATTTGCTTAGGAAAATAGGGGTGAGGAATGGATGAAGTACAAGCTCTTCCCTCTCAGGCAGACGAGCCGTTTAGCAGACTCAGCGTGCACCCTCGCTCTTTCTTGTTCTTCCTCTGTGGCACCCTGGGCTGGGGACAGCAATCTGGGGAGCAACCTAGCCGAGAGGAGGACTATTGCATTTGCATGCAGGTGGTGAACTTCTGAAGCTGTATTACAGCTGAGGCAGGGTGGATTAATTTTGAGTCTTTGATATTCATTAACTTGAGCGTCAGAGAAAAATACAAGGAGATGACACAATTACCCTCCGAGCTTCACTGCAGAGCAACAGCTTTACAGTCTCAAGTCCACAACACTCTAATTGATCAAGAAGGGGTGAATCCCTACGAAGGGAGGTGAAAAAGCATAAGGCTCAAGTAAGACACTGCTATTATAGGGCTTCAGAGAGTCAATGATGCTTTGCGGGCACTTAGCTAAATGGCCCACATTATTTGCTATTTAAACCACCTTCTATTATTCAGCCCTCCTTGGGTATCAAATGATCCACTGCCAAACAAAGCCCACATTTAGCCTAAAGTTTATGGTAGTCAATGTGCAATTGTCAATTCCTTTGAAAGCAGTGCAGTCAGTCTCATCACCATATTTCTCTCTTCAGGCCATGAATCCTTTGACCTGCAGGGTCCTAGAAAATACATCTGAAACTAGGAAGATTTGTTCCACAAGAAAGAACAGCAGTGAAAAAAAAACAAACACAAAAAACCCCCACAAAAAACAAAACAAAAAAACAAACAAAAAACCCACAAAAAAAACCCAAAAAACAAAAAAACCAACCCACAGACCACAAAAGGCTTGACTGCTTCGATGTGCCTGGAGTAAGAAGAGTAGCACCAGCTGAATGTTTACCTTAGGATCTTCATAGACCTCAGGGTCCATGTGCAAAATCTGCGGGTAAAGGGCTATCCAGTCTCCTTTCCTCAAAACGACTTCTTGATTCCCTTCTAGCTTGAGAACAAAATCCTCTTGGCTGATGCGGATGTTCATGGAGGACGAGCACATTCTTAAACTCTCGTTTAAGGCACTCTCTGCAATTAAACAAAAAGGGGGGAGGGGGAAGCATCAGAAATATGGGAGATGACTGGAAGTTATACATGGCTACAGCTGCTGATTCTCCAGGAGTTTAGTAGGGCAGGCTAAAGGGAAAAAAGGAAAGGAAAAAAACATACAAACAAAACCAAACATAAAGCAGAGACCAGAAGGAGGCAATACACAACCCCGCAGGGCTGGGTGGGGTGGGGCAGTCAGGGATGCTGAACCTCCCGAAGTGATACTCCCTGATGGTGATGAGAAATCCTGTCGGTTGTAAGCAGCACCAGGTTTTGGGTGGAAAGTCATTATTCAGGCATCGTGTTGAAAACAACGCAATCAAACTACATGAACGCTTTATGAATCTACATATATTTTGGCGGTTGCAAACAAGTACCAGTGAAAGCATCCATGGAGCTGTTTAGCTTGCTTTTTGAAAGATGTTGGATTTAATGGTAGGACTATACATTAGAAATCATTCTGCTTGTTAATTCTGTAGTCATTCTGAGAATTTTTAAATGCATTTTCTTTTCAATGCACTATGCTGCCAAATTATAGTGTCTGTTGTGGTCAGAGTGAATGAAAGCAATTCATTATTTGCCTAGTAATTTTAAGAGAGAAAGACACTTCTAATTGGCCTAGAGAAAACAAAACATAGTCCTTTCAGGTTTGGGGAACGCAAGATTTCTGTCTCCACCATCACATCCTGGAAGGCTCCAGAAGCTGAATGTCCTTGCTTTCCCAGTGGCCTTCACCTTTTGCTCCTAGCACGACAGATTTTATGGCTAATTTCCGGCAATTTATCCTGGCAGTTTGAGGAGGAATTCCTTTGGGAATAATATGCATAATTTGCATAAATCATTCTGATAGCATGTATATCAGCATGTAGCTCCTGTCTAGGGCTGCATCTCTCACTTTGTAATCAAAACTGACTATTTTTCCACCAGTGTGTATGGGCACTGTTATATGTGACTTGATTCCTTCTAATCATTAGTGTGAAAAATAGCCTAAAATAGGGTTTCATTTGCATGTAATAATCCATTTGTGTCTGCCTCTATGTTTTGTGATATCAAATAAGCCTTCTCTAAGTGTTCACCAAGGCACTGCAATTGCTGCACCCAAAAGGTTCGTTTATTAGAGACAGTAGCTACCCAGTATAGATGCCTCTGAAAAAAATAATAACAAACGTTCTTTCACTAAAAATTAAATCTAGTGCAGCATGCATAGCAAATAAAGTGGCCCTGGATGTTTTCTTGCAGGAGGTTTTTCCTTAAGCATGCATTTGTCTAAAGAAATGAGGCTGCGGTCAGCTTTGTGTGGCCAGTGCTGTGATTCAATGTGACGTACAGTGAGTCTGTGCATATTCTTTTGGACTGCCTTCGTTACTATAATCAGGCAGAGTCAAATCGGCTTGTTGGTGACGAAGCCAGAAAAGAACCCTGGTTCCAGAAGATGGCCTCTACTGCGGATAGCCACAAGGCACCTGACACGATAGATTTCAACTGGCAGCGCTCTGGCAACAAAACTTTACGCGGTACAAAGGAAGGGTCCAGCCTCAGCTCCAGACTGCCTCCAACCTGCAGAAAATGAAGCTGGTATCTTTGTACCAGTCCACCATTTGGAAATGGTGTTGACATATGTGGAGACAGCAGAAATCAAATGAGGAAGAGGGAAGGAGGAAAAAAAAAAGCGAAATAATTATAAAGTGCCACAGCAAAATAGCAGCACGTTTAACCACCCAAGCAATGCGGTCACTTCCTATCGGTGGACATCCTCCCAGAAAGCGTGGCAGTCCCTGCCCGCTGCCGGATCTCAAATGACAATTGGGCAGCATATCTTATGCAGAAGTTAATCACAATAATGGAGCACAAAGTGTGGCTTAGCGGTCAGATCGTAAATGACAAATCTGTTTTACCTTCCAGTACCAGTTATGTGTGGAAGGCGAGCTTGGCTCTCGCTCTGAGCGATCATGCCGATAATCATTAGATGACAAAAGTAATGAGTCACATTATGATCAACAAAGGAGAATGGAGCTTATATGGCTTTGCAGGCTCACATTAAAAAAATAGACAGTCAGCTTTCCACAAATGCCAGAGCTATACATTGAGAGGAATGACAACTGCACAATAAAACTGCAGCCTTTACTTGCAGTTGTCATAGTTCAGCAGACACCAGCCATCGCCGCTGACAGACCAGCTGGGTAGCTTGGGAGGCCTTCCATTCTGCACCGTGAGGTACAGTAAATTATCCAGCATGGTAGAGCAACATCTGTTTCTGTGCTTGTGCCGAACAAACAAGGCAATTTAAAGCATACCAAGGGATAACCAAGCAGCAAATGAACATGACCCTCATTTTTTCCCCCCTTCTTACACACATGAGATGCTAAACTTCACTGTGCAAGCACTACATAAAGAAGCCAGGCTGTTGTTTGATAAGGTGTTGTCAGAGAGATTTTACATCTTTTCTAGAGAGAGAAGGAGGGGGAAGACAGAGATATATCTCATAGTATTGTTATTCTTAGAATCCTCCCACTTCTCTCTTCATTTCTCTTATACTAAAGCTAGCACTTAGCTTCCAATTCATTCTAGACATTTTTTTTTAAAAAACTGTTTCAATATACTTATAAATATTCAGTCTTTAAACCCTAATTTGCTATACTTAGTTCACATGCCTTCAAGCATTTGTCTTCCAATTTCCACTGAATAAATGCGTACTAATGAGAAATAGAGCAAGCTGCTGAGGCAAAGCTGGGTGACTTGAGCCTGGCCTGCCACCAGCTTGTGATAGGCAGGCAAATTGAGTTAAAATGAAAAGTCTTGTCAGCTGAAATACAACATGGTAGCCAAACAGCAAGCTGTCAATCATCCAGCCAAAACAAGGGACTGCAGGTAATAAAAGGTCATTGCGAATCATAAGTGCATTTGGCTTTCACAGGCAAGTTAATTTTAATTAAACATGATCTCTATCTGTAAATGTTTTATAAAACTTATTGTGCAGTAATGGATTGTTAATTTTACATTAACACAGAGCAGGTAACGGGGTGCAATAATTATTAGAGTGTATTGTAGGAAAATAGTTATTGAGTATGCAAATATTTGGGGGGGTCATTTACCCACAGGCATCAGGGTGTGCCAACACAAACGATGACCTGAAAAAAGTATATTTGCATGTTACTCAGACCTAAATGGTACTGCCCAGCCCATTCCAGAAAAATATATTTATTCCCTTTCAATTCAACCACTGATTTTAATGCTTAGCATTTGTGTTATGACTACACACTCTGTATTAGCTCTTTTTGGGTCCCTACCCTTTCTTGTGTACAAAACAATTTTTCAAGCTGTGCTCTTTTTGCAGGAATATCTGGGATTCAGCAATGACCTGGGGCAAGAATACTTCACCATATAAATGAATGGACTAATATTAAATAAACGAACTGACTAAACATGCCTAGCATTAAACATGCACTAAGTACATCTCTGATTTACCCTCGGCATTTCCATTATAGCCAGTTTAACTGACAGACCATTTTCATTTGTCCTTTACATATTAGAGCTCTGTTGTGAGCCATAATGTCTAACAATCTATGTTACTCTATGCACACAAATACACACGTTTGGATTTTGGGTCTGTACTGTGTTACGCAGAAAATACAAAGGGCTCTGCCCCAGAAATACCATCAGAAAAAGATAATCAGGGCCAAAATTTGCTAGTTTGATTTTGGGTTGAATGTGTTTTGCATTTTGGTTTTGTTTGTTTGGTTTGGTTTTTTTTATAATAAAATAATAATGTACCTGAGCTTAGAATTTAGAAGTAAATCAGGCCATGTTGTTCCCTAGACCCAACAATCTGACCATAACAACAATGCTCTTCCAGAGAAAGACTTTTAGCAATTTGTGCTTCTTCTCTGTAGCATGAAGAATCAAAAAGACTCTTGTTACAGCAGGCCAAAAAGAGGACGGGGAATCAGAGCACTTAAAACAGGAGAATGAGATGACAAGGTGATGAACATGCAAGCATCCCACCTGGTCTGCCTCATTTGAGAGCAGGGACACAATCCCAGTTTCCTATGCTCTGGGTTGGTACAGAGGGAATGGAAAGAGGAAAAACTCAGTCTTGGAGGTTTGGGGTCAGTGGCCTTCCTGCAAGAGGGGAGGTCTTGGCGTGCAAGCAGTGCAATTTGGGACCTTTGTCCTTCCTACACATTTATTAACAAAACATCCATTTCCACTGAAGCATGACTCTTAATTCTCTCATGGTACAGATTTTTTTCTATATTATTATTTTATGGGACAGTATCCAGCCCTTTATGACTTAAGTGCCAGAAGAATTGAAATCTAGCTTCTGTTCATATCACATTATGTTTAACATGATTATGAAATTTAACAAAAGTGTTACAAGAATACTACAAAGTAGGATGTGGCACTTCCCTCTCAACGCATAAATCAAATGCTACCAAGGTACTTCAAGATTTCAAGAAGCAGAAGAATGACACAGTTAATGTTTTCAAACTGTTCATACTGTTTTGCACCAGATGGTTTTAGTGAACTACATGGTTTTAATTTCTTATTCCTACACTTTTAGGGAGCCTTTTTTTTCCCTCTTTTTTTCACTGGCCATTCCCATCTCAGTCTATAAATATAAACTAAGTTATCTTTTGATCTTCTTGATGCTTGCTAACTTACTTATTGGTGTATGCTAGCTCTGATGTGAAGTAGTTTTACTTGTGCTCCTTAGAAGTCCATTAAATGCTTAGAAAATCAAGTTACTCACCAGAATTGTCATCCAATACCTCCTCTACTTCAAAAACATTCTCTATTGGTTAGAGATAAATCTGCATCAAAACAGCCATGACTCCGGATAGAACCAACTTAGTAGACTCACGATATGCAAGATTAATATTAATGCTCTAACACAAAGGAAATGGATTGGACTCAATTTTATATTTGTAGTAATCAAATCAAGTTTGCACACAGATTCTTGAAATGTGCCACATCGGATGATCTTGGAGAATGGCAGCTATTACAAGGATCCAAACTAGGCACAGAATGCACTGCTCCACCATCATCCCTTGACACAGCTTTGTTTAAGAGTGGAGCATCAATTCAGGTCATGAGCTACCAAGATCTATGTACATGAGCTTGTTTTGAACAGAGGATTTGTTTTGATATTTAAAAACAGATGATTATTTAACCTTTAATCTTTTATTCCGCTGTTGTCTGCCCTTGTAACACTACTTGTGGAGACTCACAGATGATTAAAAGTTAGGTACCTACCTGTCTTTCATCTCTTGGGTTATTTTCACCATTTCTCTTGCCAGTGTCTATGCACTACCAAATGAAGTGAAACCAAGAGTTGATGCTCTACAGCTCCTGATTCAAACAGCTTTCAGTGACCATTGGCAAGGGTCTCCCTTTGAGCCCTGGATCCAGAACTGGAAGATATGTAGCTCCCTTAAAACTCCCTCTTTTGAATAAAGTACTGAAAACATAATTTATCCTCTGCAAATTTTTATCTTCTTATATTTTATTTGGAGGCATTGCCCAACAGAAGCCTGCTTTAGAAGCTTTTTTTGTTTTGTTAAAGAGAGAAAGAAATTAAGAAATTGCTTGCAGATAAAATACATTTGCAGTTTAAATACACAATCCCACTTTAATTTCAGAAAAGGGTCCTTCTTGGCAGTACCATACAGAAGTATTTGAAATGCATTAACACTTCGGCAGATGCTCAGAATCAAACAACTTAATAGGCATCAACTTTTTTTCAAATAATTGCAAAGCTTCGATTTAGCCTTTTGCATACCTTGCATAGTTAATTACCTAGGCTTTAATGTTTACATGCAATGAGAGTATCTACAGCTATAAACTACATAATTTATAATTGATGTAAATGGGTGTTATTATGTCAATTAGGCAGCTGTGTCCTCCACCTTCTCAGTAAACAGAAATGAGTGATAAACCGAGTTTGCCGGGAGAGCCCCTCTCCTCTTCCTAACAGATAAAAATAAATTACCTAGGTAGACCAGGTTGTCCAATTGTTCTCTGGTGAGGTGGATGTTATATGTGGGCCCTCTCTTTTGACCTGTTGACTGCAGCAAATGGTCAATCTCGTCACGCACCGCTGCAAGAGCTTCTGGGTGCCGCAGAAGATAATACATGGCCCAGAATGTAGCTGGAATCGTGTTTCCCACAGAGGCCCACAGGAAGGCAAAATGATGTGCTGGGAGAAAATAAGTGAAAAGGAAGATTAATAGCGTTTATTACACTGATTAGATTTGCAGTGTGCTAATTAAAAGATGTTAGGACACAGACCCAGCCAAGGATCAGTGAATGCTAATGAGGACCAATAGGCTTCTGAAGTCTAATTTTCTGCTTAATGAGAATAGTTTGAAATGTAATGTCGGGGGGGTGGGGGGAATAAGGGGAGGAAATGCAGCTCAGTTATAATCTTTCTCATTATCACCATTAAGTATCTTGTTTTACCACCTCAGCACAAAAAAAAAATCAATTATCATAGAGGGTTGTTTCAGAGTAAAACATTTTATCATTAGCCAATTAGAAAGAACATAAAAAAATTTCAAGGTCGCCATTTTGCCTTTTTATTTCAAAGGTCTATAGTAAATTATTTTATTTTAGACAAGCAATCATTCATAAGTTTCCTACCTGCTTTGTCATAATCTCCAAGCAGCTCATATTTCTCAAATATATCTTGTCTGGCTTGGACCACTTTTGACCCTCCCAGCCATTTTGTCATGTTCTGAAGTAAAAAATGATGTATAAGCTCCTTCCGAACCTTCTTGGTAGCTCCTAGCAACTCAATTGGTATGTTTGCAGCTAAATAGGGAAAGCTGGCATCAAACTTGATAAATTTGTCTCTGATTTCACTAATAACTTTGTGGCCATCTGCAGCAGGAACTCTTCCATATAGTGTTACAAAACTGGCTTCAAACATTACAGAGCAGCAGAATTTGTACATTTTTTCTGTTTCCCAATCTGTTGCTTGTGAGCATTTCCATTCAAATATATCCTGGAGATTTTTCATCATGTGGTCAGAAATGATATCCAAAGGCTTGCCTTGTAGATACTGGTAGATTCTGTGCAGGTTTTCCTTGAGTTCAGGGAATTTTCCTTTTGACAAGGCTGGGTAGTCAAAAGTTTTGGATGCCATTTTATTAGCGAATTCATGAAATTCAAGTTGCTTACTATTTCGGATGACATAGACATATTGAAATGGGTCCATGATAAAGGTAATATATCTACCTGAATAGAAGAACAGAAAATAATTAGTAATACGTGCACTTTTATAAATCTGGTGACACTTCCAGAAGCAATAACTGAAAATAAGCCAAAGTCTTAAAAAGTGAAAAAAGCATGCAGAAAGAAAAAAACCCTAAAGCAAAGATATGTGAATAAATCTGCAAAGAAAAAAAAAAAAAAGAAAAACAAAGGAAACAAATATTATATAGATTTTCCTTGTCAGGATGCAGATTCCACCAGTATACACTTTGCAGGCACTTTTAAAATCCTTGTGAAGCCATTTCCATGTAGACAGATCTACTGTTTGTGCCAACAGTTGTGTGTGATCTCTTCAAATGTGGTGCTCTGAAATAAATAATTTTCTACTCAGGTCTAATTCATGAAAATACAGTGTGGAGTCATAGCAACATTTAGAAACTGTAGGCTTTCACTAGCAGAAAGTGGAAAACACACACATTTTCCCTGCACAGAGGACAGTGAATGACAGGGTCTGGAGTGGAAAACATGCCACCTAGGCAGCTTTTTCCAAGCAGATGACACAGGAACTCATAATCTGTCAGTTACAGCTTTAACTGCTCCCTGCAAACCCCCAACATTTAAAGCTTTTCTCACATCTGGCTCTTCTTCCCTGAAGCTTTGCTAACTCTTTGTTAAGAATGTGCTTAGTATCCATAACATGACTACCTAAGTCTATGAATGTGAAGGAGCAGTCTATGATGTAGCAGGCATGATTTTTAGTATGGGCTCCACTTTGGGACACACACTGTCCCAGTGCTAGGATCTATTGTGTCAGAGTGCACCACCAATTTCCTACCCTTCCCAGGGTCCTTAATGTGGTGACACAGCGATACCTTCAGCTCCTTGTACAGAGGGATAGGCTTGCATCAAGTTAAATGCTTTTTCAAATTGTCCACGCCAGATATGTCCTGCAATTTCTCCCTAAACTTCAAGTCAACTGCCAAAGAAAAGCATTTGGAGGAATTGCCATGAATCAAAATGCTAACACTCCCAAAGCTCAATTCAATCTTGGCTCTTTATAGATGGTTCTAAATTTAGACTTCCTGATTCTTAACTTGAATGAAGAGGTGCATTAGGGAAAAAGGGTACCTATGAAATATCCCAGTCACAAACTCAGGGAAAGAGCAAAGCTTCCAGCACTTACAGTCTAATTCTGTCTCACTAAGGGGACAAATTTCTTTTGATTTTAATGGGAACACTACATGCTTAACTGTGGACCAAATTTGGCTCTGTGACAGATGTCCAGAGATAAAGTAGTCACTACCACTAAAAATGTCAAGTATCCATGGTTACGATATAGTGATATCTGAATTATCATAGTTATTTCATATTCTGACTTATATACACACACAGTGTTCTATAGTATCTGGGTACACTCTGAGCTTCCTCTACAATTACCAGCTTCCATAATTCCCCTCCCAATTACAACAACTGCAACCCCAGTGAACTAGTAAGGAAATGTAAAGGATATATCAAGACAGAATTTGAACCCTTTGTCATTTTTGTCAACAGTGTATGAATGTTTTTAAGACATTCATTGATTTTGTTTTACTGTAACATAATCAACCACAGCTGTAAATTTAATTTTAAAGAATAAGTATATTGAGAAACCAGCATGAAAGAGAGATCCTGAATTCTCTGTCCCCTTTTTTGACCTTCTCTGACTACAAAGGCTAACAGGAATTTTTAGTCTTGAATTACTTTAGTCTTGCAGGATCTTTGTTAAGAATCCTAGAATTACCCTCTCTTTCCAGCTTTCACCTACTTTCATGCTCCTTATTGAGGCTACCATCTTTGTGATCAAAGCTTGGAAAGAATGTCCACTGGAGCAATTTTTAATAAATAGATTTGGAGTGTTATTAACCCTAAAGATGAAAGCTGGCTTCTTAACTTTGCATTTACAGGGTAAACAATTTAAGTTAAGATTTTTAATTAATATTAATTTAAACCATCTGTCCACCATCTGCTTATTTCTGATGCAAAATATGAGTTTCTTTGTGATCTTTAATCAGACACTTAGCAAACGCACATCAATTCTTATCATTTTTAAGTAAGAAAATGATTTTCAGCAAATGAGTTTTCAGACAAACAATTTTAGTAATAATTTCAAATCAAAACTCACTCACCACTAGCACATACTTTGAAAAAAAAGTCCTTGAGCAAAAGAATATTACAGATCCGGGGTTTATTATTCTCATCAGGTTCCTGGTAGCAAAAAGTAAGTATGTAACAAAATCTAATTCATTTTGTAGAATCAATTCAGGCTCCAGACCACATCACTGTAAGTCAACAACATATATGAACACTTAAACCAAAAGATTTCTTGTTGCTACATTTAGTAAGGGTCTAGATAATCAGAAAAGTTGAACCCCCCTGTAACAAAGGCAGCTTGTTTATGTATGCCATCGAGAATCTAATTTTAGATCTGTTAATTAGAAAACTACTAAAACCTAGGGCTAATAAATGGCAGTTAGAAAGCTGAGAGAGTGGGTATGGGAACCTTAACAATTAAAGTCATCCTTGCACACAGATGCACTACATGGCTTACCCCAGTCTTCTCCATACAGGAACAGATTGCTAATTACAAAATCATGCCCCAACACCTCCTCTACACCCTGAACAGCAAACATCCAAAGTGGAACAAACTTTCTCACCTCAAGTTATGATTTTAAATTTTTTAAGTGCCAATATGGTCCTTAGTTTTGCTTTTAAAATCCTGCCCTTGTACCCAGTGATGTTTCTTCCAACTGATTGTCCCTGGTAGTGTCAGAGGCCAATAAATTAAAACCTTTCATAAAATTTTCAGTCATTATTTGGTGTTTCAAAATGCAGCTTCCCCCTCTACTCCCATGTCTTTCCATTGCAGCTAAAGTCAAGACAACTTTGGAAAGTAACCTTTTCTAAAATCAATCCAAAATCATTAGTTTCCATCAGAGTACTAAAAAAGGTAATGCCAAATCAGCCAAAAATGGAGGCATACTACAATCTCCACAAATCAGGTAGCCTTAAATATTGAAGGTATTTATATAGAAACCACTAGAGACTAAGCCTTTCCTAGTTAGTTTGTAAAAAAAGCCTTCAACACCAAAAATTAACTAGACATGTCACACTCCAATTCACAATAGTTTGAGTCACTGAGCTATTTTATTTAATACAGTAAAAAACAAGTCAAAACAAGAGATCCTTGTTTCTGCAAAAAGCCTTCTGATTTTTTATTTTTAACGGCTACAGAGAATTCATACTTCACTATCTAATTCTTCAGTCTGCATTACACCCATGCTGCAAATATATTGCCTGGTTATCTCCATTTAGTTTCTGTGATCTCCTAGAAATAGAAGATTGATGTGGAAAATATGAAAATTGTCAACTTTGGTAAATCTGAGTGCCGAAGTCAGTATTTGTATTATAGTTAAGAAATTACACTAATAATGCATTCTGGAGCTTTTTAATGCTAATGATGAAAGACAAGCATTTCAGATGGCATCTAATGATGGATGTTATTTCGGTAATGCTTGGAGCAGGCTTCAGCTTGGTAAGGAGTAAATGTAAATTACCTTTTGCCTACAAGAGAAAAATGTGATATGATACTGTAGGTGTATCATGCTTTAAAGAAAAGAATGACTTAGCAGCAGTATTTGAAAAGGCAAATGTGCTTAGTAAAAACCACAAGGATTATTTTATTAAAGGTGAGTTAGTCTCAGAGAGAATGTTGCAGGGTTCATTATCACTCCTATCAACTTGAGAGAAAAAGGACACAAAGTTTAATCCCAAGAAACAATGACAAAACAGTTTCAAGCTCTTTTAAGTTCTTACCTAGCCATCTGCCTATGCTGCTGACTCTTTAAGAAGCAGAAGGGCTTGGAAAGTATGATCATCTCACGCCACAGACTCTCTCTCTCTTTCCCTGTCCTTATTCTTTTCTTTTCTGATTTTTTTCTTTATTTCTTTTTTTTTTTTGTTTGTTTTTTTTGGTTTTTTTTTTGGGTGTTTTTTTTTTTTTTTTTTTTTTTTTTTTTTTTTTTTTTTTTTTTTTTTTTTTTTGGTCCAAGACTATTGCATTTACGTAATCGTCCTCTTATTAGGGAGATTCTGCTGAACTGCTGACAATGATGTACAGTGGTGCTGCGCTGGCATGACGTTTGGGGAAAACGATTCTGCTGCACCACCACACAAAACCAATTAGAGAACTATTTTCTGCGACAGGTCAGGAATTTACATTGTTTCTCATAGAAAGATGTGCTTTTTAATTTCTTTATTAAGATGACATCCATGTCCCTTGCGACTTTTAGGGATGACAATCATTTGCTCATCACATGGGAAAGTACAATCAGCAAAATCGCAATACCAGTACGGGGCAATGCCAGAAACTCCAAGCATCATTCCGCATTTTCCAAATGAACTAGTTTGAGAACCAATAATTAGAACAATATATATTGATAGAATTTTCTGACAGGACCTTTAGACATCCACCAGGGGGGTAAAGTAATGATAGTCCACATACAGCTGGCTACACTATGTTTGCCGAGCACAGAAACATCATCTTTGTCAAATCAGTAAGACACAGAGAAATCCTATATTCCTTCAGATCAGGACACGATAGGAGACACTAACTAGCTTTGGTTTCTTCCCTGACTTGAGGATGACAAACTATTTCTCCTTAGTGAAGTCCTGATGGTCAGCAGTTTTGTACCAAAAAAGAGAACTTAAAGTGGTGTCTCTGTTAAGATGAATCCACAAAATCAAACATTTCCCTGCACAAGACAGAAATTATACCCAGAACTAACTCCATTTACCTCAGTCTTTATCAAGGGAGGCTTGGCTCAAAACACTTGAACATAGGGGATTATCGGAGATAGAATTTGGTTTATTGTAAAAATAGAATTTCTGTAACTAAATTATGCTCATGGACTGCTTAAACACAAACTTCTAAACACAGTCTTGTATAAAATAATAAAGAGACAAAAGAATAAATATTTCATTAAACACTTTTAAGATTCTGAAGTATGACTGTATCCAGTTTTATGAAGGTACTAATATCTGAATTATAGCTATTAATTGGTATTTGTAAAAAGCCAAAACTGTATTATAGTGTGAATTCAAATTAACAATAAAAACAAATGTATTTCAACAAGAGTTGGTGTTGTACTGTGCCAAATTCACTTTCAAGTTGCAAAAGATCTGATCATACTAGTTTCCAAAAAAAAACCCTGAATGAAATTTTTTAAAAATCACATATTTAATACAGTAAAATTCTCTTCCAAAGGAACAAAAGGACAGATTTTTAAAAGGAGGAAAAATTGTATTAATTAAACACACGGATTGCAATTAAATTAATTGACTTTAAAAAAAAAAATTCATTTTAAAGTATTGCTTCTATGGGAACATAAAGCTAAAGCTACTCCCCTAGAATTAAAAAGAAAACTTTATACTTTACACTTAACATTTTTGTTTCAAACTCCCTAAAACTACAGAAATAACTAAAAATTATATAGAATAAGTTGATCATTTGAACATGGATATCAGCATATAAAGGCACAGAGGATGATTATAACCATCTATATTATATAAGAGCTTGCCTTTCTGAACACAAGAAAATACTGGATTTTAAACTGACTTTAGTAAAAAGTAGCTGTCTATAGATAGATGTAAATTTATATATTTAACTTCCATTCAGGATTTTAGTGTTTTTCTATGTTTTTCTTCCACAGCTAAGTGCCTGTGTGAAATCACTCAAATGTTTGTATTCAATCTGGCTTAGTAATACAGTTATAAATACAGGAAACAGCAAGGTTATATCATACTTTATTATATTGTAATTTTCAGCAAGCATGATCAGAGTAAGAGGCTGGCAACGGGAAGTTTCTGTGTTCCAGTCCTGATTGTATCACTGAGTCAATGTGTCATTCATTCCCTTGTGTTCCTGTCAACCAGTTGTAAAATGTGTGAGAACAAATTCTGCACTTTTTTTCTTAAGTGTTTTCTAAATTTAATCTGATATTTTTCTGTGCAGTGTCAAGATGATGTTCTCCCTTCTTTAGGAAAAAACCCACCAATACACAATTTAATATGCTGGCAAAATCTATGTTCATACAGTACAGTACATACCTACAAAATCTGTCAAAATACATATATACTTAGAGATGTAAATATATCCACACATTGATAGTGATATTTTATAGATAACTATTATGCTTAAAATATATGTCAATTTCAGGGATTTTTATGGGTCTATGCTACAGGAAAATGTTTTGGATTAAGGAAGATTCTAAACTAAATATTTGGATTATTATTTCCATTTCACTGATGGAAAAAATCAAGATGAATACTAAAATATTTCTCACCAGCAATATGTACAGTGAAAATATCTCCAAATTTCTTTTGCTGATCCAGTAAGAATTTGTAAGCATCTTTTCTAAAAATCAGAGCTTTCCCGAGGTAAGGAATCCAGCCATTTATTAGTGGAGGCTCTCCAGTCTTTCTGTTAAAAACAGAAGAAAAAAAATAAACAGGAGTTAACTTTGGCATGAGAGCAACTCATCTTTATATCTATTTATATATTACACTTAGACCCACCATTTACATCTATAATTCCTGCAATGTATAATATGTTGTACAGAAAGTTCTTCAGATATGATGGCAGGTTAAATCTAATCACACCTCTGAGCACTGAAGGCTCCATGTGGTGATTAGGAGAAATAAGTGAGAGAAATTTAGACACATTTAACTATAGGTCGTCCAGTTATTGCCATCAAGTTATGAACACAGAAAAATGACATTCGGTAGAAAAGCTCCCAGCAAAGAGTCATCTCATTTTCAATATTTGGTGTGTCAGAGGAAGATCTATTGGAAGGCATTTATGACAGATTTAGGTAAATAGGACGCCAACACAACACACAAAACAAGTATCCTTAAAGATAGCATTTTAGCAATTTCAGCTTACCAGCACAGAGAACACCCATTCTAACTAAATATCTTTAAAATATAGGATAATAATACAGACTGAATATTAACTGTAATAAAACTTAGTCTCTTTCTATTTATAGTCTAAGATAGAAATGTATCTGGACAGTTAAAGAAGAAAGTACAGGTTCTGATGTTTGCATTCCAGTTAAAAAAAAAGCTGCCATGGTGTGTTAGTTATCTTTACAGAATAGTATAAAATACCTGTTAGGAATCTACTAAGCTACGTTTTTCTTTAAAAGCAAAAAAGGTTCCCACATTGTCCCACTCCAGACTGCAAGTAAATATCTTTCCTTCATGCTGATCTTTAGTTGCTCGAATCTGATTTACAACAAAGAAACATAAAGCGTGCTTGTTCTGGAAGGGATTAAAACAAATATTCACAAACAACTCTGCTGCTACATCCCATCTGTGAAGGTGACTTATACTACATGCAGAACAACTCATTCTGATTAAACACAAGATATTTACTAGCTTGGATCTAATCAAAGATCAAGGGATCACAAGCTTTACTACTATCATACACAGCATGGATTTTTATGTAGCTGGATTAACCCTATCATAGTCACATTCCCCCTTGAACTGCTGTAACACAAATGAAAAAAAAAATTAAAATAACCATGGTATAGTGTATTTACTTTTAATTTTACTTTCATAATTTAAACTTTTTGAACAGGAAAATATAAGCCAGATATAAGCTCATTTACTTAAAAAAAGTTATTATAAATTTAATTTACAGATAAACAGATGTGGCTAAACCAAGCTGCATATTTTGATCTCTTTCCGTTTAACTGACTACTAACTTCAAATTTCAGTTTCCAAGAACATCCTTTTGTTCTCTGAAAAACCAGTACATCTTCTGTACATCTTCTTGTCCGACAGTTTCACAGCCAGCAGTTTGCGGCACCTTTTTCATTTCCTTAAGTTTTGTGGCTTTGGCATTTTGTTTGATTGTTTTATAGCATTTTTTTTTTTTATACTAAGAAGATGGAGCCCCTCTTTCTTCAATACCTCTCAGAAACCACTGCATGAATCATCCTCTAGTGGTCAAATAATTACTTTGAGTAAATAATTACATTATTTACTCAAATGGTCCAGAAAACTTTGTAATGTTTAATTCTGTATTAAGTGAATAAAAGCAAAGAACTAATCTGAGATTACAGGAGAGGGATCACTACCCCTGGAAGCATAGCAGTCAACTTGATACCCTCAATTATCCCTTCCAAGCCCGTAAAGAATCTGGATGATTTACCCACTTTTTCCCCCCCGGACTATTAAGTCCTGAGAGTGTCCGCCTTTCACTTCCCTGGCTGGAGACTACGTCCTGTAAGTAACATCCTGACAAATATTTAGATAGGCTTTTTGTCATCTTCTAATTGAATGCATCTAATTTCACCCTCCATGTTCTGTCATTCGGTCAGAAGCTGTATTCTTCACAAGCGCTCCGCCGGGTAAAAAGAAGGCAGCTCAGAAATCCAGGGGAAAATTAACTTAATGCTCCAAGTCTTCGGGATCACATCAGGGAGACATTTTGCTATTGCAAAGACGTGAGGGTCATCGTTCGCTTCAGACATGTTTAGCTCAGCAGCAATAAGCTTAACACTGTTAAACACTGTGTCAAGGCTACGTGGCTTTCAGAGGAAAATATAACACCAGTTCAACTTACGACCCACAGCAGACTGATAACAGAAATGTGTCTTCATTTCTAGCTTTCTGTCTCTTTGGGATATGGAGGTCATCTCCACGACTTATCAATGTCTGCTAACACACAGCAAAGAAAAGAGCGGCCGCTCGTATTTCAGTGCGTCCCCAAATCCAGCGCTTTTCTGCACAAACGTTCAGGCAGAGCACTGCAGCCAATTCCATTTCCTGAGGGACTCTCACCTGCATCCTGGGTATCTCCAGAAGTCTTCATCAACTTTGGATGCTAAATGGAATGATTAACAAAGCCCACAGAAACTTTTACTGCTTAATTAATTTGCTTATGAACTTTAACTCTGGACTCACACTTCACAGAAGTTGTAAAATTTGATAATTATGGAAAATATTACAAGCACTCGGGCTATATTTTACTAATGACAAATATTTTGTTGTACCAAATGCAAAATATAGCTAAGAAATATAAAAGAGCACTATGAAGTGTTTTGATGGAAATTTAACTTTTGTGATTTAAGCATTCAGAATGTCTTACAGATTACATTTTATTCAGTTCTAGTCTGCTTAAATTCTAATTAGTCTAACAAACCTCACAATATTCCCAGGTCTTTTCACTCCACATATTGGGCTGGTTCTGCTTTTATAGAGGAATGTCTTTACTTGTCTGAGGAGCCTCTGTGAAGTCAGTAAGACTTAACGAACAAATTTCTCACATATGTGAGTGAATTTTACAAATAAAGCATCAGCAACATGTCCAATGCAATCTATAAGTAGACAGATCAGTTACAAAGTGGAGGGAGAGCAACACAGTTGTATCATCCATCATTGTTAAATGGATAATTTCAAATGGCGTTATGCAAAAATCAGCTGGCTACAAATACAGCCTATAAATAGAACGAACAGATTTTGATAACTGTAATTTTTGTTGCTTTCACAGAGAAAAGATAATTTCTTGTTAGCAAGTAATAGAGTTACAACATCCACTTCACCAAAAAACCAAAGTTTTGGAGTTTTTTTACAGTTTCCTTAAGGAAATATTTTTCATCTGACCTAAAACACAGAAGGCGCTGACTCAGGTGTGATTATTTAGCTTATTTAGTGAGACAATACTAAAAAATGTGGATGCTGTATCTATGTCTCACTTATGCTATGCAGAAGTGATGCAATAAAGCAGGAGAAAAATGAGCTTCAACCTAAGTATTTTGGAGAATGTTCAATAAAAAAAAATTAAATTCAATGTCTCTAAACATTATTCTTTCATGTAGTGAAAAGGAGTTTTTTTTGAAACCCCAGTAAGGTAATTTGTAAAGGTCTCTGAACACGACTTTTTTTTTTTTTTTTTTTTTTTTTTTTTTTTTTTTTTTTTTTTTTTTTTTTTTTTTTTTTTTTTTTGTTATAAAGAAAATACCTTAAAGATTCACAAGCAAACAGACTTTGCCAACATGATCTCTCACAGAAATATTATTGCTTTATAAAAGCACACAAGACTATTCTTTTCTTGGTTACACCATTTCAACATCACTGCAGTGTGAGGCATTGAACCCGTGTAAATGAGAGGAGAATCTTTCTCATCTCACTGGTTATTTGTATTCCAAAGGAGCAGATGCCTTTCAAATTATGCAAAAACCCACAGCGCATCTTGTACTATAGCAGATGAACAGGTTAATTTTTCTTTTTGCACATAATAAATCATAAGTGCTTTAACACCCATAGTCGCATTTCATGAACATAAACCTTCTGTTTAATAATGTCTGTTTACAACTAGAATCAGACATACAGTAATCTTTTGCCTGGGATAAACATTAATCCAGATCTGTCTAGAAAAATTATACAATTCATTACCATAAGTAATCTCTATTGTGCCCCACGCTTAACCTTCATCTTTTTTTCCTGTCCTATAATCTTGCAAATCCACTGGTGGTGTATGATTGGCATCTGGTGTTAACGCAGCCTTCACTGCACACAGCACAGCTGAAGAAGCCCGACACGAACACGTCACTCTGCAGGGTAACGCCGGTTCAGCTGACCGCTTTTCACAACAACTTCCACCAAAGGTGGAAAAAAAACCCACAAGCCAAGGAGAAAAAGGTCTAACAATACCTTTTGCCACAGAGGGGTCATTTCCACTTTCCAAACCATCGTTACCATTCACAAAAGCTAAAGGCAGTGGTCTGATTTTTCCATAGTATCTTTGGACAAACCATCATAATACCATGTCCAAGCTGGAACACACCATGTCGGTGGACTTTAATGGAAATGGATTGGTACAGAGTAGAACAAAAGCTATTATGAACATGTCAAAGCAGTTAGAGATTATTCACAGGCTCGATCACAATATTTAAGCAACAAGACATGACAGACAGTGTCTTTCCAGGGGCTTATGGACAGTCTAACTGTGAGGAAAAGAATGAGGCCAAAGGCTTCAACCCCAAGAAAGGTAATCCCCAGAAATGTGGTGTCTGGGATGTCTTCTTGTATTATGAGAGAGACAACACAGGAAACTTTGGACAGGAGGAAGCCAGTGAGTCTTTCTATTTTTTTTCTGTAATTTAGCAGTTATAATTTTCCCCTGGACCTACCTATAGGTGTTCTATATCTATGAGGACAGAAAATAATTTTTTATTTCAAATATTTGGCCACAATGCAATTTTTGACATTTATAAAATCTTCACCCAAATTATCTGACTCAGTGATCTCCTGGAACTCTGAATCTTCCAGGCTGAACACATGCAGTATGAAAAAACATTCCCTGCAGAACAAGCCAGATGAGAGTTTTAGCAATACAAAATCTTTCACCCTGAATTTTCAGCTTACGTACTTCCTGCGGAGGTAAAGACATTCTCCTATCTGGTCACTGCTTTC